AACATTGAATTACATGAACAGCACTTGGCATCCAGACTTAATTCAAAAGATTTGAAACATTATTCAACATCATATAACATAGTGCTCTGAAGTCCAAAATCTTGAATTAAATTTAAATGCCATGCATGCATTGTTTGTGTAAAGAACAGATATTAATGTTCTTTTGTTTCTCTATTTAAGTTATGATTTATTTGAATACAGTATTTTGTTTGAGTTTGTAAAGGATCTGAAGTTGGAATTAAGGATTCCAAAAATGTTTATTCTAAATAAAGCTCATCCTGACTTGTAGCTACAACAGTGTTAAGTGATTGTATTTATTTATTTATTATTATTATTGTATTCAGCTAAATAAATGTAGAAAAGGAAGCATTTAATAAAAATGTTTATAGTAATAATTATCTTCTATCGATTTTATGAAGTTATAATAATTTTTGCATAGTTTCATTTGTAATTTTAGAGTAATTTGATGATATTTATAATTTCTTCCTGAAAAGATCAGATTAGTGGTAACCTAAAAATTAAGTTTTATTGTTTGGCTTTTTTTTAACAAAGTAATTGTTACTGAAATTAGAAGTGTTAAAATAGGAAGTACTGAACTAGGACAATGAAATTAAAACAATAGTTGGTAAGTTCTCTATACATTATCTAGCTTATCCATAATTTGGTGGTTACTAAGATGCAAACAGAAAAATAAATAACTGATTAGAAAACATACTTTGTACAAGAGAACTTATGTTAAAATATAAATGAAACTTTATGTGAAAAATTATGTGACTTCAAATGTCATGGAAGTGTGAACGTAGGGTCAGTGTCTCTTTGACACCGCGTCAGGATGTGACACCACCGAGTCTCACATGACTCAGAAATCATGACAGAAAGTTCTTATGTCACGCAAGCGATCGCGGGTAAGCGGTTGGATTCGGAGTAGAGGTGAGGAGAGAGAAACGAGGAAGTGATTCACTCAGATTCCAGATTAATAAATAATGACAAATTTATTTTAACGAGCAGGAGTACATGATATACGATCATAGACATCTTGGATTGATATATGGCTTATATCCTTAGATTATCAAATCTAACCATTGTGAGAGAGAGAGAGTTTACAGGATATTTGCGTGTGGATAAATACCTTATAAAGAAGTCGATGATTGATGACTGGATGGTTCACTGGATTCTTGATGGAATGTTCTTGATATTTAGAGTGTTCAGGTGACAGGAGCAACTTTGAAGGGAGGTATCCGACTTGTGTTTAGGCACTTAGGGGTGTAAGGTATCCTTATGATAAGGTCAGTGGAGGCACAATATTTTGCACGTTATAATTCTTGGGAGGTGAACTTTGGAGCATGACTGACTGGATTTGTCATCGCTCTCCCTTGTTATTTGGATTCCTTCTTGGTTTTTTCCGTGAGATCAGGAGTCTGTTCTTAAGGGCCTGGCGTCCAATACTTGAAAAATATCGAAAGTTCCGGGTGACACACTAATGACTAGATGGATCATCCTCAACAAGGAAACAAGTCCGTGGGAACTAAATTTTTTATGGATTTTAACCTAACTCTTGACAAAATGATCAAAGTTAGACGATTGAATTCCAAAATGATTAAAGTCCAAAACGACACTTCACTGAGGGTCCCTTCATCCCTCACATCACCCCAGCCTTTCCAAAATTGTGCTTGTTCTGAGTGAGCAAGTTCGATTTTCACTGTTTTTCTTTCTAAAGGCCGTTTACAATGAAAGATTTGTTTCTCTCTCTCTCTCTCTCTCTCTCTCTCTCTCTCTCTCTCTCTCTCTCTGTACCTTTGAGTTTTCGGAGTTGGTAGTTTTTCTATGATCTGTTCCTGAGGACAATCTATTAAGTTTTTCTCTCTTGTCGCTTTTTGGTTATTTTGCTCTGTGAGGTTTTTCTCTATGCGGACTACTCTGACAATGATTTCTTTATTGGTTTGGGTCTTTTTCAGTTGAATTCGTCTCGTTGGCCCTTTTAGTGTGGCATGGTCTTGGAAGCTTACAACTCTTTCTTCGGGGAGTTTTATTGTTTCTGTTGCTAAGTTTATTTCTAACCCCTGGTCTTTTATTATGTCTCTTCCTATTAGTCTGTCAAATGGTTGCGTAATTTCATCATCTACAATGTAACATGGGTAAGAAAATTGCAAGGGTCCTATTTGAAATAGGAACTTGGTTTCACCATACGTGTTGATTTGGTGTCTGGTGACACTTCGGAAAGATATCTCGCTCCTGTTATTTTTTTCTTTTGAAGGTGCCTAATTGTTATGCCAATGATCTCGACAACAGCATCACCGTGGATCCTGTATCTATGGTTAATCGGGTTGCTATGTCATCAATGAGACAATGTAACGTAGGTTTTGCATTGTGCGCTCTGAAATTATGATGAGTTGCTACATCACTGAATCTAGATATTCTAATCCTGGGTGTATTTTTTCTCTTTTGCCTAAAATTGCCTCTAAAATTTCGTCGGTTTCTGTTTACTCTTCTCTCGTATTGCCATATCTGGGGTTGTGTTGGAGTCATCCAGGTTTGTCAATTAATTCTTGAGTCGCCTAAATTATGTCTTGCCTCATATCATCTTGGTCTGTGTCAAGAATTGTATGTTTGATTTCACATGCCGCCTATTATGTTTCTTGAGTTGTCGAATGGGTCACTATATCTGTTTTTAGCATTGTTGCCTCTATGCATGGGGAATTCAGTTTGACTTTCCTGCCATCGTAACTCATGTAATTGCTCTTGTATTTGCTTGATTGTTTGATGTATAGTTCTATCGATATAGCTTTGTCTTTGTGGTTCTGGATATTCCTGAGAATGCAAAATTGGCAGTGGTCTGCATCTAGGATCTCCTCAACTACATTCTTGTGTGCCTAATCACTTTAGTTGCTCCTGAAGTTCCGCTAAAGTTTCCTCCAATTGCTTATGATTTGTCATGTTATGGTCCTCTTTCAGATCGGTAGGATTATTTATATTTCTGACTATCGCTCGGGATTCCACCGTTAATTGTTCTATAGTTTCTTCGCTGATAGCTGTTTGCACCACCTTATCGAAGCATAATGGCATTTGGAATGTCAGTGGAATCATGCTCGACATTGCAAATGCCATTGTCAAACTTCTAGGCTTACAGGAAGGCAGCACTGAACTTCCAACGTTCACATTTTTGCATTGAAAACTTCGGCTGCAACCTCACTAATTAATTTTTAATTTAGACATTTTTAAAATTTAATTTGGAATTAATTATTAAATTTAATGTGAGATGGCAGCATAACTACCTACCTCTAGTCAAATTAATTAATTTCTAATATTTAATTATAACCTTTACATAGCCCAAGAATTTATCATATCGTTTGGCATGTTTATTATATAATGGGCAATGGTTGTTGATGTTTATGTGTAATATGTATGAATACAAGTTTGGAAAAATGTTTGATCATAAGCGACACTAAGATGCTAGCAGAATGAGTGCTAAACACAGACTGATGGAGCATGTGCACAATTTTCCCTCTTTTCATTACTCATTATGTGAAATATTGCTCATTAAGTGAGTCATTTTTTACAATTCTGTTTTTCTCGTCAAGCGAGGGGCTACTGTAATAAGTTTCATTTTTGTTAATTTTTGGATTGTACCTATCTAATAAATTAGATAAGGTTTGTCATTAGTAGTTAACTGGTTGTATATATAAACAAATAATCTATCACATCAAGAATTAGCAAAAAAACCTCTAACAAATATAATAAAAACAAACATTTTCTTTCATATTCAAATGGACATTTTCAGGTTAGTGTTGAAAGTGTCTGTTTGAAAATGGAAGAAAACAATTTTTTTTATTGAATTTGTTGGAGTTTTTCCTGGTTCTTGGTGTGATACAGTACTTGTTTAGATAAAGTCAGGATTGACAACCTTATACTACTAACATAAATACTGTATGCAATAAAGAACTCTTAATACTGTATTGTATTAGAATTCCTAATTGGAATTTTTTAAAGAATTATTTAAAATATACATGAAAAGCTATTTCAAGGGAGTTTCAAATTCAATCATTCATCTTTGCGAAGCTTTAAGAAAGAAATAAAACTTTTGTTTCTTAAAGAGCTTGAATGAAAGGATAGATAGTGAAATCACCATAAGAATACAGGAGTGCAAGTGGTGGCTGCAATAAGTAAATTTGCGAGGGATAAAAGATGTCCAAAGAGGCATGAATGACTGTGTATGAGTGTTTTCGTACCTGCACTTCTATGGTAGTGAAACTAGGATGTGGCAGAAGTCATGGGACTCACATTACTGCATGTGAGAGGACTCTATGGCATAATGAGGAGAGACCATATGAGAAGTGAACAAGTGTTGAAGGAATTTGGGTGAAAGATAATATGGTTTGAAAGGTAAGTAAATTGGTCCTACAATAGTTCGGTCATGTTGAAAGAATAAAACGAGAACTGTTGAAGAGAGAATACATGGAAAATGTGGTTGGGGAAGGCCAAGACCTTGGTTGGAACAAGTGGATGAGTATCTGTAAGAATGTAAGATGCTGAGTCAATAACGAAGTGTGCTAGAAGAGGCGTGATTGTGTCTGAACGGGAAGGTATAGAGAAAGTTGCTGAATGGATGATTTATAGGATAGTAATCTCCTTTTGCCTGCTATTTACCCTTTTTGAATTGTGAGCATGAGAATATGTATGTATGTATATATATATATAGTGTACATTAAAGCCTTTCCAAAGATGAATCATTGAATTCAAAAATGCTCAAAATTTTTCTTAGCTTTATTTAAGCATTTTAGTATATATTTTTATATAAGAAATCTATGTATATTTCCTATATACAGGTAAACAAATACTATCCAATATGCATGTATAAAATCCAGAAACTTCATTACAGTGGAGTTTCTGGATTACATACATACTTATTGCATATTATTTGTTTACTGTGATTATATTGTATTAAATTAAATTTACATAACTGTAAGTAAAATATAGTGACAAATCTATTACTTTTTTGATAGCGAGAAGATCCTTCCAAATTAGTTCAGTTCTATTATGCAGACGAAGAACTTAATTTAGTAGCAACAGAATTAGATAGTTTTGATGGTCACAAGGATCCAGACAGGTGTTCAGCTCTTGTTAATCAACTGCGTTTATGTCAAGATAAAGTGAGTAGTTTTTAAGAACTAAATTTAAAATAAAATTATAATTGGAAAAATTTCTCTCTCATAAAGAACTTGCATAAGTTTTAAAATCTTTTCATTTATGATTGCTATTATGATTTTTAAAAAGATATGACTAAAATATCAATTACATGTATTGTATCAGGAGTATCCAAAAATAACTGGAATTGCAACACTGCTTATGCATATTTTGTTGGCTATTGCAACTTTTGGATATGAAACTTCCAAAGACATAAGCAAACACTAAATTTTTATTTTTTGGAAATGATTCAAAAGTGGGTCCTATTACAGTAGAGCATCGATTATTCGACTCAATTGGGGACTCGTGTTGGTCAGATAACTGAAAAAACAGATAACCGAAAAATATGAAAAAATACATTATTAGTATAGTATATTAGTATATCTCATGTAATTAGTATATTAGTATATCGCTATTAACCTATTTCACATTGAATTTTCATCGATGTTAAGCCTAACAAAAATTTTTTTAAAATAATAATCATCACTATTGTATCGTTAAAAATAAGAAAATTAAGCCTCGTTTAAATACTGGCTCCCTTTCATGGTCGAGCCATGTTGCCAGCTAAAACACATAAAAATACTATTAAAGTAGCCAAGACATAGCCAAATATTGTATCACCACATCACTAGCGGACATTTGAATTTGCCGACTAGAACAGTCGGTTAACCAATGTGATGGTTAATCGGGGGTCGGATAATTGATGCTCTACTGTATTTGGATAAGGAACTATTTGTGTCTAAGGTTATGTGCTCACCAAGTTTTGTTTGAATTGGATACCTGAATGTTTGGCCCTCTCCTTGTAAGTGATAGTTTAACATGTTACTTTTACTTCCCAGACACCAAACTGATAAGGCTATTAGTACCTGCATTAAGTAGTAAGTAAAACTGATGGTGATAAATAATTTGAAGTGGCAAAAAAATTAAAAACTGGCAAATTGGTGGCAGTATTTTTAAATTTTCCAGAGAGATTCCTGCAAGTGATATAACTTTATAACACTATGTACAAATTTTTGTTGTAATATAGTTAAAAATGAAATTCATAATTTAATATTCATAGTTAATAATAAATTCATAATTTATGTCAATAGGTACTGAACATATGCAATGAAATTATGGATGAAGCTATTCCAACACTAAGAGCAAATAGGGATTACAGAGTGAAATTTCCTGATGAAATGCTTCATGAAAATCTTGCTGGTCAGCTATGGTTTGGTGCTGAAGTAAGTAATTAAAATTAATTTTCTGTATTCAAATATACTGTTGAAAATTTATTAATTCATAGATGTTTAAAAAATAGAAGAAACTATAAACATCTTCATTATGTCCTTTCACACACCTCAGGAACATAACTGTTTTTTTCAGTGAAGTTGACTTTTTATTAGAGGCCACTTATTCACTGTAATATGCAAAAAACATTAAAAAAATTCCAGAGTTTAACAAAAAACACTTAAAAAATTCCAGAGTTAATGTGTGGCAACTACATTCAAATTCAAATTTTCTTAGAATAGTCTATTAAATTTTAATAATTAAGTTATTAATTATTAACTTTATAATATATACATCACAAAAAGTTTTGCACCATCCTAATTTTGGAAAACAGTGAAAAGAAGTTCAAAAAATGATACTGTGCTTTAAAAAAGGGATTATGTAATGACTTTATCATCATAAAAACAAAAGCTTGTAAAACAAAAGACATTATCTCCAGTGTCTACAATGTTTTCAAATTATGATACAGTGGTTTCAATACTCTACCACAATGTTCCGCAACCTTTTTCTACTTGTGGCACACCCATGACTCAATACGACACACCAAAATGTTATTCCCCTCAAAAACATAAGATACTATTAATAGAATTACGTAATGCCACTAACCTATTATTATTAAACAGACATCAACACTTGTGAGCAAATTTATTTTACATATAATTTTGTAGAATACATAAAAATGCATGACTTGTGATAAAGAATAAACAAACATCATCTTATTTCATCAGTGCTGCAGCAGAGAATGAAATACAAGCATAAGAAACACAACAACTTTGATAAAAATATGTAAATAAAACTTGAAATTAACAGAATATGTAAAAGTTCACATCACATCTTTCACCATGTGACAGCACACTGGTTACAAGAACACTGCTTTACCACACCATCTCTGGGGTTTTCAATGCTGAACTCATCCATGGTATGCTCAGTCAGTTCACCTAGATAATGCTGGTCTATCCTTGCTCATTCAGTAATAGCAACCTCCTGGAGTTCTTGAAGTGTCTGTGATGATGTATGGAATCTCATGGTTTGTTTCAGCCTGTCCCAGTATGCTTGATGGAATCGTGACTGGAGATTGTGTAGATCATTTTGTCCAATCTTTTGTGTGTGGTTCACAAGATATTTGCAATGACATCTTAGTAATATTATATCACTTGCAATGACATCAATGTTATCATCTTAAAAGATGAAACATTGCTTTATATTGATAAAAAATTCTAGGACAAATATATGATCAAAAATATTAAAAATTCTGTGCAATAGAAGAAACACTCATTCAAAATTGTAATGATTGTTTTTTTTAATTTAATTTTCAGTTATCATAATTCAGAGCTCTATTTGATAATCCATTTCCTTTCTACAAATATATTAGTAAGAATCAAACATAATTCTTCATTGTAACTTATAGATATATAGAGGTGTGTGTGTTAACTAGTTTCTTTAATAAAAGAGTGAATCATTTAAATAATGATGCAATATTTTTATGTTTTTTGTTATATTTTTCTTTTTCAAAGCATTAAAAACTATTTGATCAGTTAATTTAAATTCATATTATGCAGTCTTTTTAAGTTGTTGTTTTATTAAATAATTGATATCATTTGAAATAATAGAATAATAATCTTTTTAGGAAAAGTTTCTGTGTATGTATATTTTACTTTTTAAAAGTAACAATCAACCAACCAACAGCTGAAATAATTCAGCTGTTGGTTGGTTGATCATTAATTATACATCGGGCTATTAGGATGTTGATGTATTTTAAAAGTAACTACTATATTGTTTCTATTAGGAGTTCACTGAACTCAAAACATTTTCAATATATGGGCTTCTCTTAACATTATTATTTAGTTTATATTAGTTTTCCTGGTTTTAAGGTAATGCTCTATAAGAAAGCATCATTATATTGTGATTGTGTGTTTTTTTAGTGGAGAAATTACTAAAAATTTGGTTTTTGACTACTGCTATAGTTATATTAAAATGTATTGTGGAGCAATTGCTCCATAATACATTTAAGCTAGTGCTAAAGATTTTAGTAATGATTAGAGAAAAGGCAATTGCTAATATTTAAAAAAAATTTGTCAGAATGTGCTGCTTACTGTAAATTAAATTACTGATTTCTCAATAAGAAAAATATGTGAGTAGGCTGCTTTTATTTGGACAGTTTTAATCAGAAACAGAAAAAGATGTGGAATGGCTTCTTAATAGGAGCATTAACATAGACTATTTTTGTTTAATTTATGTTATATTTATTTATATAAAGATTTATTGAAATGATAACAGCTATATTACATATACAGTATCTTTATCTTTACTCAATTTGTGAAATTAAAATGTACAGTATTTCTTTCAGTGTTTGGCAGCTGGTTCGAATGTAGCTAACAGAGAAGAAGATAGTGAAGAAATTCGTCCTCTTGCAAAAGCAGTCACTAAATCATTAGATGATGTTCGAAATCTTCTTAGAGATCAATGCTTACGAAATTCTCAAATTTATTCAGACAAAGTAAGTTTTTTTAATTTGATTGTATTTTTTTACTAGTATATGGTTAATTTTGACTTCATTTTATAATATTGAAATTATTCTGTTTGAATGAAAAAGAATAATATCAAGTTTTTTATTTTAGACATGAACAGTTTTTAGTATTGATCAGTTATTGATTAAAGTTTTATAATTAGTGTTAACTGATATCATCAATACCAAATAGTTGCTTATGATGTCAAATAATTAATTTTCTCACTTTTACTTTTACTTGAAAATTGATGGTGATTCTAATATATTTGATTTCTTATAATATCTTTTGAAATTATTTCAATTCTTAAGTAAATAAATTTAATGATTCTATAGTACATAAGTAATGTTTAACAGAGCCCATCTGTTGTGAGAAATATATTAGACTAGCAGATGAGTCGGTGTTACCCGGGCAAAAGGTAACAACAACAACAAAGGTTGAAGATTATTAGATTATTTGTGGCGTAATAAACACTAGTATTGTGTTTTATTCTAAAGACACATGGCAAATTTTGCCATGTGTCTTTAGAATAAAACACAATACTAGTGTTTATTATGCCACAAATATAAAACAGGACACGATTTCAAAAAGGAAAATTATTAGATTAATTCATACTTCTAATCTTTCTATTATATTATAGTATTTCATTTATATTTACAAAGGTTTATTGCACAGAGTAACCAATCTAACACATTTAAAAAATTCTTTAAATTGTGTACAGTAGATGAATAAAGAACCCTCACATAAAATAATATAATCTTTGTAGTTATATAAATCAAACACTATAATATAACAAACATTAAAACGAAAACTATAAAAAGAGTTTGGTTATTTTAGCCTACCATTGTCATGTTTATTGCAATACTCAGATGGTACAAAATGGCACAATCTCGTTGGTCAAGTAGGCACCAATTGAAAATATATCTTAAAAAATTTAAGATATCATATTTTTTCCTAATTTTAGCTCTGAGAAACTGTACCATTCACAGCCAAATATCAAATGGTAATCTGCCAACCAATCAAATTTCATGTAAAATGGATCATATATTTAAACTCAGCACTCTCGAAATCCACTTAAAACATATTTTACGCTTGCCGGTAACTTTGTATTATACACATTTCCTATTCGAATGCCACCATACTGCTTGTCAAATAGAAAAGAGACTGTTGCAGAAGGAGGTTGAAGTAATTCAATCAAAAGTAGTCATTGACTGCCTCCCAAAAGAGAAGATGGTCGACGACTACTCATTAATACTGATCTACTATTAATAATTGAAAAGTGATCCATATTGGGTAGATTGTGATGGCCGTGCATGTGATGGAAGTTGTTAACCTTAACATCTGAAAGACTTCATATGATTTGTTCAAGACTGCTTATTAATCAATACTAAAAGACTTACTATGACATCTTTGTGAACATGCAGCCCAAGTTTATTACTTCCAAACGTTTTTGATCATGTTAAATGACCTTTCTCAAGAAAAAGAAAAAAAGTTTATTACTTCCAAATTTATTACCTCCAAAAACTTTTGGAGGTAATAAACTTGGGCTGCACATTCACAAGGTGTCACAGTAAGTCTTTTAGTATTCATATGATTTGTTTAAATAAAAAAACTTGTAAAAATGTGATAATAAAGTGTTTATATTTTTGCAACAAACTGTACAAACTACATGTTCTCGTAACTATTGCTTTTATAGAAAAATTTTTGGGCTGCAATTTGAAAAAATTGTAGACCTATAAATTCCAACTTGTGTCTCTTGTCTAGCTGTGTGTCTGTCTGTCCTCCCTTAATCTCAAGAATGGTGTTAGATAAATGAAAGTTGAGACCAGATATGCTTAGGAATAGGAGGCCCAGATTAACTATATATGAACTTCTGATGCAAACTGGAAGTCACATTACATCAATTTAAAGTTTTTCCCTGAACAGAGTTAGATAGATAACCAGCACAACTCTATTGCTAACAGGAAAATTATGAAGTACAGGAGCAAGACACCACTAAAGGAATTGAGAACATTGTGATGAAAAGTTGCAGCCTGGCCTTGTGACAATGTCAAAATGAATAATCACTCATTAGAATTAATTTGATTTATTTGGTTAGGCCCTTAGTTAGCCACAGTGCTCTTCAAACTTCGTCAATTTAAGGAACCCTTATGAGTATAAAATTATTTTGTGGAACCCAGGATCATAAACAATAGAATACTCACAATTTAGTACATATATAGAGAAAAACATTTTAATATTCTTTTATTATATTATAATAAAAGTTAAAAAAGTATTACAAAATAAAATTAATATGTACAAATAAAATGTTCAATTCTAATGACTGAGATGAGCTTGCTTTATTTTGCACAAAACTTTAAAGTCAGGTTTTATTATTGTTATTTGTAAATGTATTCCATGTTCAGCATCCAATTTATTTCTGTATTTTGTTTTTGTTCTGACATATGTTGAAAATGACTTCTTGCACAAATATGTTGTAACAAAGGGCATAAGGCTTTTATAGCTTTAGCAAAAATTTCAGGATATTCCATGTAAATTTTTAACCAAAAATCAAGATCTTCTCATTCATATCAGCATTTTAATGTAGAATCTGTTGATAGTTCAATTAGTTGTTCATGTTCTATCAGTAATAAATTCTGATTATTATTAAAATTTGGAAATGGATATTTTATCCAGTTATGCAACTCTTCTTGCTGAGGAAAGTAATCCCTGATAGTGGTTTTAAGTTGTAAATATGCTCCTGAATCATGTCTTTAACATCTTTATTCAAATTTATTTCATTTTCATTAGAAAATCACTTAGCTGTTCAAAACATTGCATATTATTATTTTTTACATGAGATTCCCACAAATTAATTTAAAATTACAGGTATACCTCGCCTTACGTCGGTAATTGGTTCCAGGAAAACGACTTAAGTCGAAAAACGACGTAAGTCGAATTTACTTGTCTCCGAATCTACTTGTCACTAGGAAAAACCATAAATTACTATTCCCAGTTCTGTATTTTATTTATTAATGCATTTTTAATAATATATGGTTAATAAGAATCTATTTTAAGCTTACAAACAAACAAATTTTAGTTTTTAATAGAGTACAGAAAAAAGTAATCTAAATTTACAAATGCATGTACTGTACTGTAAATACAGTAATACTTGTAAATGTATATATTTTAATATGATTTTATGTGCTTTAAACGTTTTTCTAGTGATATTACGACTTCAATATTTGTGGCGGACGGACGTAAAGTCGAATAAAATGACTTAAACTTGATTTTTATTTTTCTGTATACTTTTTTGACAAACGACGTATAATCGGGAATGACATAACTCGAAACGACGTAAGTCGAGGTATACCTGTAAAGCAGTGATTTTTATCATTCAGTCTAATAATATTAACTTTAAGGGCTTGAAGAGATTTATTAAATTCATTTAAAGTTGTAAATATATCTGCCAAATATGCCAATAGCTTTAACCATATTTCATCATTTAAATTTTGAGCATATTTGTGTTTATGATCACTTAAAAATATTCTAATTTCATCTTTTAATTTGGAAAATTGATTTAAGTTGAAAATCTCTGTTGTTCTGGTTCTCTTCAGATCAGCTATGCATTCCTGTGTCTTTTTGGACTGCAAATTGCAGACCTATATATTCTCACTGTCATCCATCTGTCACTCTGGCAGTCCAAAGGCTGATTGATCAGCTTCTTGTTAATCTTGAGTATGGAATCAGATAGTTGAAAATTCAGATCAAATATGGAAAGCTTAAGGCCAGATGCATGATTAACTATATACGAACTTATGGTTTGGACCTGAAGTCATATGATTTAAACTAAAAATTTACTCAGGAATGGAGTCAGATAGATGACCTACACCCAATCATACTATTACACCAACAACCGTAAACTTGTTTCTGTAGAAGTGTTCACTTTTTTGCTAACAGAAATTTAGAATTCTTGTCCTGGTTTTGCATAATAAATTTTTTATGTACTTTTACAATCCAGTAAATAAAAAAACAGCTTCATTCAGGGTCATTGCAAATTGGGATTTGTATCCTGACAGATGGTTTCATAAAGCTTATGGCAATTTCCAGTGTATTTTCAATTCTTTTGATAATATTAGCTACAGTTGACCTGGAAATGCTTGTCTTTTCCTCAGAAGCTTCTTCACAATATTTTGAATTGAGAGGCCATCTTTGAAAAGTTTTAACTTCTTTATCTATTTCAAAATCAACTTTTTTATTCATGTTGAGATTTATTTCAGCTAGTGAATGTTCTACAACATTTGCCTTAGTTGTATTACTTTAAACAGTAACATCAATAATAATGGGGAAGAAATGTTAAAAAATAATAAAAGAATCTTAATTAAAGATGAAATAATTCTAATCCATTTTAAAAAAGTGACTATATTTAAAAATAGTAGAATTTCTACACTGGAGTATTGTAAAATGCACATATGTACTTATAAGCCTTTTACTGGTGTGCATCTCAGAACAAACTATATAATAAAGTTACAGTTGTTTTCAAACTGTTACAGTTTTTCTTCAGGTAATTTGAACTTCCTAATGGAATGTACTTCAGTTCAAAGTTGTTATGAAATATAATCCAGAACATTGTCCCGAGTGAACCGATGACATCATTACAGACGCTTAGTCATTGCTTAATAACCTGAAAACGTTCTTATGTTATTAAAGAATTTTGCTGGACTTTTGAATGGTTTTTTATATTTTTAATGTAAATTTTACTTTTTTTTATCAGGAAAATTTTATAAACAAATAATTATCTAGTGCTTTAATATAGAAAGTTTCATTTTGTAAACAAAATTAAACTTTCTATATTAAATAGATAATAATTATTAAACTTATATTAATCAGTGTCAGGAATAGAGTTTGTTGAATAATAGAGCATAGAAGTTTATTTTTTAACTAAATTTTGTTTTATAATATACTGTATTTATCTGCTGGGTGATCGTAATTAAAGAATGCCTATTTCAATGCTATCTATAGAGATTTTTAGCAGTCTAAATGAAACAAATCTGGTATGGTGTCATTCCAGAACATACATAAGACATTTCCGTTTTAAAAATTATTACCAAAACTTCCCACTATGGCATTTTTGCACTACAGGTAATGAAAAAGCAGTTTCATTTGCAAAAGTACACCTTTTCCAGCCAACATTTAGGTATAAAAGTGGTCAAAACTGTTGAATATTGTTCTTATCATCAACAATGGCCATCATTTTGTTGGAATGCCACATTTCTTGCAAAGCTATGTTATGAAAATGATGGAAATGTTGCAGCTGCACTTCAGTAATTTCACCATTACAAGAATGTATGTCAATGACCATTGACTCCACCAGCTCAGAAGAATGATCACTTGTTTCAAAGAAACTGGACATTAAGGAGTTCAACCTGGTTGAAGATGCAAACCTATTACTTCATAAGTTGTTGAAGATGTTACAACAGCTATTGTTAAACAGTCAGTGAATAATGTTATAGGTTCCACTAGTACTTGTTAAGTGTCAGTACCTTTCACAATGCATAATGTGAAAGGTACTGACATTATGCATATTAGTGCATTGTTATCTGTATAGGATCAATCACAACCAACAGTTGCTTACTGCCAACAGGGAAACCTGACTGACTGACTTTTATGTTGACCTTCCTTTCCAGAAGGGAAGATTTTTTGGAGTAAAGATACACATTTTCACCTCAGTGGAACAATAAACATTTATAACAGTCATATGTTGGCCAGAAAAGACATGCATGTTTTCCAGCAGATTCTGTTGCATTTGCCTAAAGTTACAGCTTGGTGTGGATTTGTAACACACATATTCACGTTTTATCCTTGGATCATTCTTCTTTGAAGAATGTAGTCCCAGAGGGCTTGTTCTAGGACTATCTTCTTCATTGAGACATGTTCTGTGATGACTCAGAGATATCAACAAATGATCAACACCTTTGTCATACCTCAACTGCAACAGCAGCAATGCACTGACTCAACCACTTTCATGCCTCCACATACTGGATTCTGTGTATAACAGTTTTTACAACAACATTTCACTAATAACAAATGATTAGTCATGTATTCCCTACTGCTTGACCATCTCCTTTACTGGATCTTAATTTGTGTAATTGTTGGTTATGGGTACACTAAAAATGTATAGTTTATTGAGTATATGTTGCAAATTTCACAGCCTTGAAAGGCAGATCACACTTTATATGAGAAGCATCACAGAGATCAGTTATGTTCAGCCATTGAACATACTGTTCGTTGCTTTTAGGTTTTACATCTTCAGAATTGGGACCACATTGAGCAGTAACTCCTGCATTGCTAAGGTCTCTGTATAGCATGTGTGTACAAATAAAATGTTTGTTGCTTGCAGTACCAAAAGTGCAATAGTGGATTAGTGGTGAGTTTCTTACAGAAGACAATTCTGTAAAATAAATTTTTGTATGTCCTGAAATATCACCATATTAGATTTGATTGCATTTGGATGACTAAATATCTTTATAGACAGTGTTGATAGGAGTATTTTAATTATAATCAATTGGCAGTACATTACTATTATTTTCTCAATATTCAATGGATAAAATATATATATAAAAAAGTGAAAAAAATTAATTTTTAGGACAATGTTTAACTCAAAATATTTAAACATTTTTAAATCTGTTCATTTATTTATAAAAAATTGTCAAAAATTAAATAAAATCATTGTTGAAAATAACAATAATTATACTAAGCAATGTATTATACAAAATATTTTTAATGATTTTTTTTAATTAGATTATTTATGTTTCATCAGTTGAAAAACAAGAAGATATATGAGGCATGTTTTTTAAGTAAGTACCGTTTTAAAATAGGACCACTGCAGTGCTATGGTTGGTGTTCCACAAATGTGTGCTGAGTACCTCATCTGTTGGTTAGCCATAGATGCAATTATGGAAGCATTCATTTGTTTTATGTTTGTTTGTGTGTGCTTAAAATGCCTCAGACATTTGAAAATCCCACCGATTGAGAAGTACGCACACTGATTCATTTTTTTAATGCAAAAGACATGAAAGTGGCTGACATTCATTGGCAGGTTAGTGAGATGTATGGAAAAATTGTTATGAGTGATGGAGTGGTAAGAAAATTGGTTAGAGAATTTAAAGATAGCGGTACTATGTCCATGATGAGGAGCGTAGTGGGCGACCATCTGTCATTACTGAAGACTTGGTGCAAAAAGTTGTTGCAAAAGTGCAAGAAAACAGACGCTTTATGATTTTGTCATCCAAAACAAAAAGCGGGGCCAGCTCAGTAAGGGGATTGTTTTGCTTCATGACAGTGCCCATCCACATGTGGCTCAACGAACTCGAAATCTTATCACATCATATGGCTGGGAACAACTTGGTTACCCTACGTATAGCCCTGATCTAGTGACTAGTGACTACCACTTGTTCCTCACTTGAAAAAGGCATCTAGTCAGCACTATGACAATGATGTCAAAACGCCGTGCTGCAGTGGTTGGCAAATCAGGTGGCAGGTGTCTATGAGGATGGAATTCAGATGCTAGTTGTACGATATGAAAAGTGCCTTCATACTGGAGGAAATTATGTTGAAAAGTAGATTAAAGTACAGGATTTCATGTAAGAATAAAATTATTTTTAAAAATGCAGTTGTGTTTTTTTAATATCAAAACGATACTTACTTAAAAAAACATGTCTTGTATATAGATAGGATTATTGTGGTAATGTTGCTTATCAATTTAATCAATTTATCTTGTTTATATTTTAGATATAATTTGATAAAACTTATTAGTTATAAACTAATCAAATTTATAATAAAATTTGTTTATTATTAAAAGCTAATTTTATAAAATTAAATTTTGTTAATGCTCTTAAGCTGATGTGTATCTTTAAAATTAAATATTTGGCAATAAGACAATGTTCATTAAATTTTATAAAAGTTAAAAGTATTTCAATTACAAAATTTTTATATTTGTAGCTTAAAGAGTCTTTGGAAATATTTGACAGGCTGTTTGCAGAGTTTGAATTAAGGTATGAAATTATGTTATAAAATAATTTTAATACTTGATTGTTTCTTTTTCTCTTTTTTTGTTCTTTAGAGATAAGCACAAAATTGCTATGTAGAACTTATCATACAGGAACACTTTTTGATGAATAATATAGACTTTATTTTGTACAACAGAAATGAATTTTAGACTATTTGGCCTTCTTCAATCCTTATTGTATAATTTGATAAAGCTGCAGAATAAATTACAGTAAAATTAACAACTATATCTTACATACATGTAAAACTCACAAAAATTAAAATTACCTAATATAATAGTTACTCTAGCAATCACTATTAAATAAGTATTTTAAAATAAAGGGGGTAAAACAAGTAAAGCTAAAATAAACTTAAAAAATAAGTAAATAAAATTATTAATAAAATAACTATAAAATATTATTTAAATGTAATAAAAAGGCTATGCCTGTAAAACAGATAAGTTAAAACTTGTTGAAAAAAGGGGAAAACACATAAAAACGATAAAAATTAATCAATAAAAATCACTAAAATAAAAGGTGTAAAATGCTTCACTGTACATTTATCAGGTAAATTGTCATATGGTAAATCCTGATTTTATACAATTACCTGTATGACAATCTACTTGTATTAAAAACTTTTTGATTAAATTACAAAATTAATTAAAATGTGGTTAATTAATTTATTTTGCATTTTAGGTTCCAAATATCAAAAGATGATTTTGGCACTTATATACTATTGATAATTATAATATTAACTTAAAAATATCTTATTTAAATGCAGAATATAACTTAATTAAGAAGTTTATTAAACTTACAGATACGTTCGCATTATGGTTCCAATTAAAACTTTGAAAGAATGTCATCTTCAACAAGAAATTATTGTTTTATTTTCTGAAACACTTCAAAGGTAAACAATCAGTTTTTTAAAAATTATTTTCATTAAATCTAATATTTTCAAAAAGGAAAAGATTTACATAATTATATTGCAAGAAATGTTTATATAGAAAAATGGGTTAAAGTGTACCTAGGTAATCCCAATGGTGGCACTTCCAACTGTTCATGCTCCTGATGGACTCCTTGCAGAGGGGAGCCACCGGCAGGCCGCCAACTGTTTAACTTCACTTGTTATTGATTCACAATAGTTCTTGAACAAAATTAAAAAAAAAGGAAACATCTACTAAAAATATAGTTAATGTAATCTAACCTAACCAGGTTACCTAGGGTACACTTTAACTGAAAAATGTATTTAAACTATAATTAAGAATATATTAAAATATAGCATTATTCTAAAAGTTTTAGTTGTCTTTTGATAAATAGAAATTATAAGACATCCAAAATATTTAAATCTAAAAGTAATGTATTTGATTTAAATTAATATTTGTAATTTCAGATACTTATAAATGAATTTGTAAATAGATTTTGTAAAAATCAGAATTTATAAAGTATTTTGCATAAATATTTTATCTGATACACAGTCCTTTTATAATGAAATATGTTAATATTTTCAGAGCATTAAGAATTAATCTTTTCACACAAGATATGGTAGATGATTGTGATCCCTCCCTCATGTTTACTGTTCCAAGATTAGCTATTGTATGGTGAGTAAAATTTTTCTTATTAATAATCAAGAATTTTTTGTATTAATAAATCATTTTTATTAATAATTTTGTAAATTAAAATGTAGTGTATTTACTACATTTAAAAATACTATATTCTGTATTTAAAATAATGTTACTTTTAATGAATTAATTAATAGTAACAAAATATAAAAATATAGAAAAAACTATATAACTGTAATTGAAATTATGTATATTTTTTTTAATTATTATCTTATCATCAGTGAACATTTTAACTGTTTATATAATATTGCAAAGGCATAGCCTCTAATGAAAAGTTTTCTCTATGAAAGATGACTGTTTTGTTCCTGATGATCGGACATGACAAAACTAAAGAAGATTTAGTTTCTTCTGTATTTTTAAATTGTATGTAAAAGTATCATCTGCCATTTTAAATGTAACAGTTAGTAATTTTAATTCTGTTTAATAAATTAGTTTTGGAAATATTTTTTTAAAATTGACTATTTTACAATCTACAATGTATTTTAAATTAATAATGTTATAAAGTAGAAGATTAACTTCTTTTAGTGTAGGTTTGTTTGTTTACTTAGTATTTTTGGACTGCAATTTGAAAAAATTGTAGACCTATAAATTTCCATTGTCATCCATCCATTCATTCATCTGTTCATCTGTCCTTCCTTAATTTTGAGAATGGAGTTAGATAGATGAAATCTGAAATCAGATATGGAAACCTTAGGGGCAGGAGGCTCCAATTAACTGTTTACAAACATCTGATGCAAACCAGAAGTCACATTATTTTAATTCAAAATTTTTCCTTGAAAAGTATTAGATAGATGATCGGCACGACTACTGTTAAAGGAAAAGTGTGATGTACAGGGGTAAGCCACTACTAATTTGAGGTAGTGAGCATATATTTTAAATTAAATAAATTAAAAATGTGATTAAAAATTGCAGCCCAGCATTGTAACAATATCACAATAAATAATTTCTCATTGACAGTACTTTGCTTACATTCTCACAATTAATCAAAAAAACACACTTTTAAAAAATCCAGCAAGGAAATTTATTAAATAACATTTTTGATCAATTTAACTGATCTTCTTTAGTTATGATAAAATAGAATGTGAAAATAGAATGTAAATACAAAAATTTTTAAATAAATGATAGCAAGTATTCTAAAATAAATAAATAACCAAAATTGTAGTTGAGATTAATAAATAACTACAGAAATAAAATAAACAATAAAAAGTAAAATAGACGAACATTACAATCATATACTGGAACTTGTGCATCTTGTATGTTATACATCATTCTTTGAATTGGAGAACAAGGTATACTTACAAGGAAGAGGCATACCTATGGGGTGCAATACTTTGTGAACTTGTGGTGTGACAATTAGAAAACAACATTCTACCCAAATTCCAACACCTCATTATCTTGTATGCTGGATATGTTGACGATATCTTCATCTTGTGGCAGAGAAAACCAAACCTGCATAACTTTTTAAAAGTGATCAATGATAACCCCTACAGATTATTCCTACAATTAGACCAGGAGTGTGAAACAATGGTAAACTTTTTGGACATTTCCATCTTACGCAAATGTGAGATAAGCAGTGGGTCAGGGGTTAATCTTGTACTGACCACTTAATCTGCACAGGGTGGTGAAGCCCGATCGCAGAGTCGTTTGGATGGCTAGGAGGGCAAAACAAGTGGGGAGTGCGTCGGTAAGTTGACAGGTTTCCTTGGAGAGACAGTAGACAGGTTTAACAAATAACAAAATAAAGGTTTATTCTATAACTAAAGTTAATTTACAGTATACATAAGGAAGTTACAGATTTAATGCTTAAATGCGGATAACACAAATCTATAACGGCAATCTAACTATTCACTATGCTGCGTGAGAGAGTTTACAAAGGCTCTAGAGTGAGAGATCTAGAGTTATATTTTCAGTCAGGTATACCTTATGTTGGATGACAGTATGCGACAATCATTCTGGATATGGAAGCTGGCTGGCTGTCACAGGCTTCTCCTCGGACAGGACCGGGACGGGAGACACTGTACTCAGACCTTCCTGATGATTGTACAGAGGGACGATCGCCCTGAACTTCCTGTGACGATCATTGTTGGCACTGAGCCAACAGGTCATTTACTCGTTATGATGACCAATTAGCATGCGCCTGTTGACTAATTAACAAACAGACGATGACTTGCCTTTCTTCCTTCCTACCTTGTCGATGTGTAAAATTCGACATCCAATCTATTTCTGTTATAACATGCGATAATTTTTTTTCATCCTCTAGTGTAAAAATATGTTAAACTCAAAAATTTACACCCTCAAAACACTCGGGCTCACACAAATATGGCAAAATTTGACCAAGGTATACAAGAAACCATGTTTTCAATCCATTTTAATTTCACATAACTGTGTTGATTCTTTCCACATCAAATTTGCAGCTTTTAGATCCTTGATAAGAAGGGCATATACACATGGGACATATACATATGGGACACCATAACAGAGCTGAATTAAATCTTAAAGATTGCAGAGCAACAAGGTTTTCTGATAGAAATGATTCAGAAGTTGATCACAACCTTTCAAACATCAAAACATCAGCATACGTTGGTAGACCAGAAACAAAAAGTAGTTTAAAATTATATCACATTTTTAAGAAGGACACATAAGAAAGTGGCCAGAGCTAATAATGTCAAGGTTGTATATCGATGTAATCCAATGATATTCAGAATTTTAAGGAATGATAAGAAACCATATAACTTGTTAGGTGTATTAAATACTTGGCTTGAATGTCATGCCAACAGATAACTCAATCAAAAACTTTAGACTAGGAGGTGTTAAAGAGAATTAATAGAAATATTTTAATCTTGCAAGTGCTTTCAATGTAAATATGTACGTCATCTTCAGGGAATTCAAAATTGAATAGTAAAGAAATTGAAATTGAAAAGACAACATACATATTTACGTTGAAAGCACTTGCAAGATTAAAATATTTCTATTAATTCTCTTTAACGCCTCCTAGTCTGAAGTTTTTGATTGAAACCATATAACTGTAATTTGACTGCAGGGATTTACTCCATCTCGTTAATCGGCCAATGTTTCAAATCAAAACTGGTCTATGTGGGTGCCACTGTGCGTAATTTACAATGACATCTCAAAGAATATAAATACACAATTGATAAAAATCTATTCAGGTTGTGTCAGCGTCACATTATTGAGATAAAAATCTCGATAATAAGACGCTGGCAGCTTACTTGCAAATCAGGATGTACAAGTACAATGGGAGTAGGCAACCATCATCAGACCCACATCTAATATACATCTAATGTGAGATATTTGGAAAAATTGGAGATTTTTAAAGCGCACAAAAAATCCGGTTGCATCAACCCTAGAGATGCAGACAGCTTGTCTACTGCATGGCGGTCCTTTTATGAAAGTTAATTTTATTAAGGGGCATTTATTCGTCTATTCTTCTTTTTATTGTTTATTTTATTTCTGTAGTTATTTATTTATTAATCTCAACTACAGTTTTGGTTATTTATTTATTTTAGAATACTTGCTATCGTTTATTTTAAAATTTTTGTATTTACGTTCTATTTTCATGTTCTGTTTTATCATAACTGAAGATGTTCATTTAAACTGACTGAAAATGTTATTATTTAATAAATTTTGTTGCTGGATTTTTTAAAGTTGTGTTTTTTTATTATAATCTATCCAGTTGATACAAAATATATGGATATTCTCACAATTTGCACATTAAAAAATATGTAAATAACAAATGGGCAACTTTTTAATGTTTCTTACCAAAACCAGCATGTTTCCAAAATTCAAAAACTTAAGTTTAAAAAATTGGCAAAAGAACATGAAATATTATCATTGTATGGATTTGACTGATTGATTAGTGATTTTCAAAATTGTATTTATGAAAGGTTATAGCTAACATTATTTGAATGCTATTTTATTAAGAATAAAACACATTTAAAAATCCAGCAAATAAATATTAATAAAATATAAAAGTTTTTGACCTAGTAATTTTGCTATTTTATTAGCAAGGTTGAGGCCAAAGTTTTAAACGTGGAAACGTGTACGTCAGACATTCAGCACTGCTTTCCTGTAAGCCTAGAAGCTTGACAATGATGTTTGAAAAGTCAGTGGAATCATGCTCAACACTCCAAACATCATTGTCAAACTTCTAGGCTTACAGGAAAGTGGTGCTGAATGTCCGAAGTATACATTTTTGTGTTTAAAACTTCAGCCTCAACTTTGCTATTAATTAGCAAAATTAAAGAATTATTTCTGACTTTTTCACTTTATGTAAGAGATTATATTCGTACTTCTGATTTTCTTGTTTTGTATTTTTTACTCTTTTTTACTCTATACTTCTGATGTTATCCTCATTTTTTCTACTTTTTATAGGTTATCATCTGTATCATCCTCTATATCAGACATGGGCAACCTGAGGACCTCAACTTATGTGCATCCCTTCATGACTTTTTCTGTAGTCAATATTATCAAGATTCTTAAACATATATATGTCCTAAATAATATACAAGAATTTACATTTTTAATAAACAAAAATTTTAAGGCTATAAGTTATTAAATTTGAAGATTTGTTATCTATTAGTATTCACAAATATAGAATATCCTTTATGTAGTATTTCACATATGTTCTGATTTCACAATAAACAGTGTTGTGTGGCCCTTTAGTATAGAAAGATTGTCCATGCCTGCTTTATATTAATATTATATTCTCTTTTTATGTATATTCTGCTAAATTAGTTGATATTACTCCATCTTTGTTGTAGTATATATTGATACAAGTTTTCCTATGTATATCACTTTGTATTTTATTTTGCTTTGCATCATTATTTTATAAAATTCTTGATTTTTTGTTGTTGTTTTTTTATTTTTATTATTTTTTTAAGAGCATCAAATTTAAGATGATACAGTATGTTATGAGGGTAGGTAGCATTGTAAAAGTATTAAAAAAAATATTTACTTGTTTAAAAACTGGTTGTATGTAATGAAAAACATACACAAATATACAGGGTGTCTCAGTTAAACATTTCAGAACTTCTAAGAGGGTGCATCCCGACGACTCAGAATCATATAGCAATGTGGTGTCGGAAATGCTTTCCTGACGCGGTAGATGGCATTGCGTGAAAGTTCCAAGCATTCTTGCAGGGAATTGTTATTTCACACAAAGACGCAGAGTTAGCCGATATGCATTTGGTGTACAGGCCTGCAGATTATAGTGGGCCAGCTGCACAGTGCTTGTGCACGGAACAATATCCGATGAAGCGTATTCCCAGCCATAATTTCTTTGCAAGCCTGCACCAGAGGTTAGCTGTTTCTGTGTACATCACCGCTTCAGGAAAGCATTTCCGACCCTGCATTGCTATATGATTTTGAGTCATTGGGATGCACCCTACCCCTCTTAGAAGTTCTGAAACGTTTAACTGAGACATCCTGTATACACAAAAGTAGTAAAAGGAATAAATTATTTAATGATATGAATGTTCTGTGCATGTATGTGCAATTCAAACCACTTAAAATCTTTGTTTAAATGTGTTTGATTTCTTAACGTTGTTATGTTTGGTATTCGTTAAGCTATACCTGACGATATTCATTAGAAACAAACAAAAAAACATTTATATCATTAAATACAGTGGGTGATCGGTTAACGAACATAATCTGTTCTCAGGCTTTGTTCGCTATCCGAATTGTTCGTTAACCGATTATCGATTTACCATAGGTTTCAATGGAAATTTAATTAATTCGTTCTGGAGACTCCCCAAAATAAAAAATATATACTTTCTTACTACGTTTATTTATATATAATAATAAAAATACATACGTACACAGTCTTGCGTTTTTATTAGTCATGTTTTTTCAGTTTGAAAGGGTTAAAGAATCTGTTTAATGTCGATTGCTTTTCTCTCTTCTTCAGGATTTTTCGTAAGTAATTAATAGCATTGCAATTGTAGAAATCCCCAAGCCTCAACCTGGTTTGGATGCCATTCTAAGACCGTTGTTCTGACATCCTCCCACTTCTTCAAAGGATCTTTAATAACAGATATCGGCATTAATCCTCTTTTTCAGAAGAAAACATATCTCGCCGAGTTTCTTGGTGTTCTTCATTCAAGAGTTCTTGGCGTTCTTCTGTCGTCAGATCCGTTTCAGGTTCCATTATGAACTCTTCGATGTTCTTTATTTCTCAGATGTGATTTTTGTTACTCCTTTAGCTGCTTGAGTCTTCTTGATTATACAGTATTTTTCTTAAATAAGATTGAACTGCGGCCTACTGTAGACCTGTTCACGCCATACTGCCCAGCAACATTAGGCATCTTCTGCCCACTCTCTACCTTTGCTATTATACTCTCACCTTTCGAAAAGAAAAACAGACGCAAAACTTAACGAGTGCCTACCCGACAGTCTCACGAATACATAAAAGAATTATTTTCTCATAAAAGTAAAATGCTGGAATTATAAGGGAGAGTTTTAAAGTTCGGAGGAATACTATCCGATCGGTATATACCGGCTTGAGCGTAGATTTCAACGTCTCCCACACTCCGAAAAGTTTCGAATTGTTGCCCGAAGACAAGGAAAGTCCAATCGGTATTTGATATTTTATGTCGCTTCTTCTTGTGTTTGTTCTGTGGGGTGTTCGTTATCCGATCATGTGTTCGTTGTCCGAACATAAAAATCTTTCGCAAAAGTGTTCGTTAACTGATTTGTTTGTTGTCCGATCTGTTCGTTAACCGATCACCCACTGTAAATTTATTTTTTTTACTGGTTTTTGGTATATTTGTGTGTGTCTTTTAATATTAAAAAAAATATTAGGAAAGAAGATAGAATGAGAATAAGCTGTATCAGAAAATAAAAGGATCAGAATTAGCAAAACTAAAAATAGAATATAATTTGAGTATTAGTTATAATTCTAAACATAATTTGAAGATCATTAATCAGTCATTTAAGCCTATGCACTGATGCTGCTTTTTATTAAAACACATTTTATATATTTATAATCTGTATATATATAAATTGAGTTTTTAAAACAATCAGGTTTTGAGCTTTACAAATAGACTGGGTTTGATAAGACATTTTAATATTATTAAAATTAATAATTGAAATTAATTACTTGTTTTTTAATTGATAAGACATTTTAATAATATTAAAATGTCTTATCAATTAAAAAACAAGTAAATAATTATTTTACATTATTTACTTGTTTTTTTAATTATACATTCTGAGAATAAGAGGAAGGCATTGTAAAAAATGCTAAATAAACAAAAAAATATTTGATTTTCACACTGAAAAACTTTGAATTTCTTTCAATCTGTAGAAAAAAAAATGTTATATTTAATTTTTTCATGTAAATAACTGATATAAATATAAACATTAACTGATATAAACAAAAATTAGACAGTATTCCAGACACAATATTAAGATCCTGAACATCAGGAAATTTCAAACATTATTAATTGATTTGCTATTAATTTAGAATGTACAGCTTTATATCACCGATTAGATTAATATTTTTTGTTTTACTGAAATTGCTTTATAGGATTATGTACTTTTACATTTTAATCAATATTAATTTGAATATTTTATTTATTAATATGTTTTTTTTATTATTATTATAGTGGCTTAATAATATATTCTGATGGACCATTAAATGTTGATAATGGTTGCTCACAAATGTCTTATTTGTTCAAGCCTTTTTATTGTACACTTTATGAAATAAGGTAAGATTGCACTGTAAAAACAAATTATTGTTCAATCTATCATCTTTATATTTATTACATATTAAATGAATTAATATAAATATATATATTTGTTTTAATTAAATTAAATTTCTGTGAATTCTACTTAGAAATATTTATGAAAGTGATTTGAATTTAACTTGACTTATTTAACTGATTAAATCTTTTCATCACAAAAGAAATATACCTTTTTAAGGAAAAAATAAATAAATAATTATATTACTAAGCAAATATCAATATATGTATATTACTAATGAAGTGAGTCTGAGGCTGGAATTAAAAAAGAAACTGCTTTTTTTAATTTCAGCAAATCAGTTTGATGACCAAAAAATTTTTTTTATCTAGATTGATAGATCATTGTCATTTGCTAAATTTTAAAAATTTTATTAAAGTAAATCTTATAATTGTAATTTTTAATGATTTTAAAACTATATTTAAATTTTTTTTTCAGAGAATTGCTTTGGACACTTTCACCTGAAGAACTTAGCATTTTGGAAAGAACATTATGTAGCACAGATGATTTTCATACTGTTAAAACTGAATGTGCAATTGCAAGTGATTATCCTGGTAATAAATTTCAAAATTATGTAAATCTCTTTCTTCAAAATCATCAAAATTGTCAACAGTTTATTTTGGATTTTTATGGTTGTCATGTAAATACCGCACAAAACAATCAGAATTTAGTTGATTCCAGCAATACTACTAAAACTTGGCAGACCGAAGAAGAAAATACAAGAGACAAAAACTGTTTTTCAACAAATAATTCAACATTGGATAATTATAATAGTGATTTGCATTCAACAATAACTTTTGGTTGCTCAGATAATGAACAAAACTTTGTTAATTCAGATATTCCAAATTATTCTCATGTGACGTTTACTGAAACCAGTAATACTGCTCAATGTATATATAGTGAGAATTATTGCAATAACAAGACTGACACTTTGTCAAAACTTGAAAATAGTTTTTCTACTACTTGTACTGATTCCAATTCAAATGATCAATTTTGCAATGAGACAAATCATATTCCTGAAGTAAATGAAAACATTACATGGTCGTCTTCAGATGTTCAATATTGTGAGAGAGATGATCAGCTCAATAATTTATATGCATCATCATTATCCAAGGATGTTCCACCTTACTTTGATACAAATGCTCAATCAAGGAAAAATGAATATGAAAATTACAATGTAAGTAGTTTAAATTTTAATTTTTAATATGTTTTATATCATAAAACAGAGTTCTAGTGCATCTATATTCAGTAATTTTAAACAAACCTTCAAGGTTCCTAAGAAAAGTGCTTTAAAACCTCAGAAGATATTGCAATTAAATATTCATAATTTCATTATCTCAGTGATAGTTAACCATAAATATCTGTCAAATATTAGCATTGATTTTACTAATATTTTGGTGCAGATAAATTGCAAGTGAAAATTTTTCAGTAACATAAAGAGAGATGATGAATATTGCCATTGTTATAGAAACCTACAGACACACTTTGTTATTTTAGTATCACTGAAATGATAGCATTACATTTTAAGTTCTGAGAATTTGTTCAGAAAAAGTGAAGTAATTTAGTGCAATAATTTTGATTTTCAAGAATTTCTGTAAACAACTAAAATTTAATATTTTCGAAATCGTAAAGATATCATTTCTTGCATATAACCCATGGATTATTTGTATTTTAAAGTCAATTTGGAAGTAGGTATAGAATGTGTTCTAGCAATTTTTGTGGATTATATGTAGGAAACTATAGTACAGTAAAATCTCACACTATCTTTCCTGGATATATAACTTTTCACAAAACATCATTCAATTTCTAGGGGTCTTTGAATAAATCTTATTTAAACTATGAAAATTAAACCTATGTCAATCATTTCTCAATTTATTATTTTTTTCATATCTATTGGTGAATTTTTAGTCCTGAAGAATGTTAATTCTGGACTTAGTTTTTAAGAAAGAGCAACACCCCATGCACAAATATTAGAATGCATTGGTACTGGTAACAGTAGTTGATGTTTTGTAGCAAGTGATAATTTGGACTGCATACAATTAGTTTGCATGCATCTTAAATGCAATGAACTGGAAGGGAAGAGTAGTGGTAATGGTGAAGTCAACCCCAACAAGTTGCTAATGGCAAGTTATACTGAAACACTGAAACAAGTCCATAAGTGTTTTTTATATGGTCAATATATCATCAAAAAGACCAAACAAAAAAATAAAACATTTTTATTGTATAAGAAAGAAACATGTCTATATGCTTTTGTGAAAAGTAATTGCTGCTGTTTTTTATATATCAAAGAAAATTTTTCCTTTTTACTTTTGCTTATTTTTATCTTTCAGAAATGTGAGCGCTGATATTTAAAAGATGATGATAATATCTTGCCAATATGATGGAGGAACAGTATTTTGTAATTGACAAGACTATATCTTGTCTTTAAAATTGTGCTGTTTTCAATGGCTGCACACCTTAGAGGTATGAAGGAGTATATGTCAGGAGTTGCAATTTGACACACAGTATTTGGTGCCCAAATCATGTGCACATAAAATAATCCAGACTTGTAGGTAGTCAGGGGACTAAGAACTGGGTCAAAATAAAATACAAAATGCTGAGATTGTTTCCACAAACAGATTTGCGCATGCATTTGCTCATGCTCTCAGTGACATAGTCTCATCCCAAAAATGGCTTCTCCATTTTACTTGTTTGTGCTTGAATTATAGAAACATCTCTAATTAGCTGTAAGCATCATAAAGAGGGTTTTTCCCCTCCTGTGTAAAAATAGAGAAAAAATGAAATTTCTCTTTGATTTGCTAGTTTTTTTATATTATTACTATCAGTTGCACTTCATCAATTCGTATATTATTTTTTCAAATTAAATCCAATTTGTTTTTTTATAAAATTTCTCATCATCCGGATTCAATCTATTATAATAATGTTAATTTCAATTCAGATGACTGGTCATTGAATTCTGTTATTTAGTCAAAAGTCATTGAAATCTGTTATTCATTTTATAAAAATGAATAACAGATTTCAATGACTTTTAAAAACTTCACAAAAAATAGAAAGAAAGCTAAAATTAAAAGTGTATTCCCATTTGCATGAATTTTGCATATTGAGGTGGATGAGAGTCTCTCTAGATAACGACTTTTATGTTGCAATCTCTACTGCAAGACTTTTATGTCTCCAAAGTGTAACAAATGTTAATACCTGTTTTTAGATATGTCATCATTCTAGTTTCTTATTCATAAAGAATATATTATTGTTTTTTTTTTTTAATCTAAGTGATAAAATGTTATAAATAGTCCTGCTTAATATAAATGCTTAATACAGCTTGTTTTCAATATACAGTGGGTGATGGGTTAACAAACATAATTCGTTCCAAGACTTTGTTCGCTATTTGAATTGTTCGTTAACCAATTATCAATATACCATAGGTTTTTATGGAAATTTGATTAATTTGTTCTGGAGATCCCAAAAAATAAAAAAATATACACTTTCAAAAAATAAAAAAAATATATACTTACTACGTTTATTTATATGTAATAATAAAAATACATATATACACAGTCTTGCATTTTTATTAGTCCTGCTTTTTCCATTTGTGGGGGTTAAAGAATCTGTCTAATGTCAATTGCTTTTCTCTCTTCTTCAAGATTTCTCAGAAGTAATTAATAGCATTGTAATTGTAGAGATTCCTATGCCTATAAACCTCAACCTGGTTTGGATGCCATTCTAAGACCGTCATTCTGACATCATTCCACTTCTTCAAAAGATCTTTAGTAGCAGATGTCGACATTGGTCCTCTTTTTTCAGAAGAAAACATATCTCGCCAAGTTTCTTGGTGGTCTTCATTCAAGCATTCTTGGCGTTCTTCTGTCGTCAGATCCATTTCAGGTTCCATTATGAGCACTTCAATGTTCTTTATTTCTCAGATGTGATTTTTGTTACTCCTTAAGCTGCTTGAATCTTCTTGATAATACAGTATGTTTCTTAGATAAGATTGAACTGCGACCTACTGTAGATCTGTTCAACCCATACTGCACAGCGACATCAGACATCTGCCCACTCTCTACCTTTGCTATTATACTCTCACCTCTCGAAAATAAAAACTGAGACAAAACTTAACAAGTGCCCACCTGAGAGTCTTGCGAATACTACAAAAAAATGGTTTCTGTCAGAAAAATAAAAGACTGAAATTACAAGGGAGAGTTTCGAAGTTTGGAGGAATACTTTCCGATAAGTATATACCAGGTTGAGTGTCAATGTCGATGTCTCCCTCACTCTGAAAAGTTTTGAATTGTTGTCTGAAGACAAGGGGGAAGACTAATCGGTATTCATTATTTTATGTTGCTTCTTCTTGTGTTTGTTCTGTGAGGTGTTCGAACATAAAAAAATCTTTCGCAAAAGTGTTTGTTATCTGATTTGTTTGTTAACCAATCACCCACTGTATATTCTACTAGCTGTTACCCGTGACTTCACCCACACGGATTTTGCAAGCAAACCATTTTTATATTCAGTATTTCAACAACCATAGTAATTGTTATATAACATCTACCGCTGAGAATTAAACAAACTGTTTTCAATTTGATCAATTTTCTGGAATGTTTTACAATCGTTCTATAATCCAACCAATATGCAATAACAAATTCGAATTTAAAACAGTTTGAACATTTGGTTAAAAAAATCGAAATATATAAAAATATTTATAACAATGTCTGAAAGATTATTAATTTAATACACTTAAGTACTTAATGAAGACTAAACGTAACAAAAAATTTTTATATGAAATAAAACGTTTGTTTTATTTCATATAAAACACATTTCGTATTTTTTGTTATGTGTTATTTTATTTCATATACCTGTATATGAAATAAAATAAAAATTGTTTTCTGTTAATCTTTGTAATATTATCTGTAAAACCAGTATAATAAGTCCTGATAATAGAAGATACAAATTTATAGTCGAAAATTTACATATTAATAAGAAAAAAGGACATTGAGGCAATTTAATTAATAAATGTCAAAGTTGCTTTTAGTATAAATGCATGTTTCCATTGTTTTGATTTGTAATTGGATATTTTTCACTGGTGCACATATTGTTCATTAATGAAAATGCTTGTGCAGTATTATAGGCATTAGATCCATGATGGCATAAGCAAAATTCAATGATTTTTAAAATAGTTTTAAAAGATTTGTGATATATTTATAAATTTCAATCCCAACTATGTGGCAGGATTCATCATTTTGTCCTCATTTTTTCACTGGTGACATAACTTTTAATACACACAACTTCATCAAACAGTTTACCTTCATTTATATTTAAATTCCAGTGGTTGGAAATGGATAAAACACTTTCTTTGATCTTTGCCCACAGAGGGGTTTCTTATAGTAGGATTCATTCAAATATTTCCATTTCCATGAAAGATCTATCCTGAAAAAGAAAAAGGAAAGAAACATACTAATCTTATGTTATTTCCCAGCAGGAAGGAAAAACTAACAAATGTGAGAAAATTAAGATAAAACAAATGCTTTTTGTCTATTCCTAAGAAGTGCTGGGAAATAACTTAAGGTTAGTGTGTTTCTTTTTAATTATCTTTCCAGTTTTCTAGAAGATTGGAACTTGTAGAGCTCTTCCAGCTTTTTAAATAATTAATGTATGTTTAGTAAAATTTATAAATTGCATTTTTAAATATCATCATTTGGGATCAAAACCCTCATGTCTTCATTTTCTAAAATTTTACAGGAGAGCTTAAAAAATGTTGTTTTTAAGGGAGGCAAATTTTGAGTACAAGGTTGTTAGTTTTTGACATTGTCAAAACAATGTTAGGGAGAGTGCTTAAAAGGTACACACCACTTACAAGGTTTTGGCAATATACAGAAATTGACTTTACAACACATTACTGCAAAAATGTGTTGTAAAGTCAATTGGACTCATTATTGGAGATAAGAAGTTTTGATTTGATGATGTGTTGGTATCAATATTTTGGGGTTTTTCTAAATATAACAATATAAATAATTGCTCATTTTGTTTAATGAATAAATTTTTAAAAGGCTTTATTTGTGAGCTGAGGATGGCTCCAAGCTTGATGAAAATATTACTTTTTGGTTACTTGATCTTAGCAGCTTGATTTTTTTTTTTTTTTTTTTAGTAGAATATAAGCTGATTATACAAAAATTTATCAGTGTACATTGTGAAGTTTAAATTCTGTAATTATTTAATTTATGAAAAAAATAAAACTTTTATAAGTTCTAAGGCATTTTGTTTATTACTTACACATGGTGACAAATAATAATTTTAAAAACCTTTTACAGCTAAATGATAAAAATTGCAAACTTAAGAAAGAAATCAGTAGACAAGAAAATAATCCAAGTTCCAGTAAAACAATAGTAGCATCTGTTTCTTCACAGACTGATGACTCTCTGAATAATACTTCAAGTAAATTAGAAAGAGAGTAAGTAATTATTATTTTTAATTGAAAGCATATTTTTTAAGTAATGGAAAAGTTTCTGGATTTAGTTTTTTATTATATTAAAAACAAGGATAATATAAATTTTATAATATTTTGTTTAGTGTTTAATTTTCTCTTAATATCCTTACACATCCCTACTTTATTTATAGCATATTTAATATTTTTACTGTTTTAAATTTAATTTTTGAATCTTTATGCATTAATTTAAATTTTATATTTCTATATTTGTTTATCACTATTTAACAACTCTTTTTAGGAAAAGAATAATTTATTCAAAATTTCAAAAGCCGACAGATAAGCAAATGAAAAATAAGTTTTAAATACATTATTTTTTAAAGGTGCAAATGTACATAGATATGAATACTTTTATAAAAAAGTTTGTTTCTCAATTTCTGTATTTGGAATAAGATGCCACTTGGAAAAACTATGAAGAACTTTTAAATGAAATAAGTACAATGGTATTTTTTAGGATTACAGTACAGTAGCATAATTTACAAGGATTAAACATTATCAACTGTGTCATAATTTCTATCTTTTCATTACTATTTTCTTTTTATTATTATTTTTTTAATTTATTTTTATAATTTTACTTACTTTTGCACATGTTTTTTGTACAGTGGAACCTCGCTTAACGAGCACCTTGCATAACGAATAATTCACATAACGAGCAAAGCAAATTGTAAAAAAAATGATACTCTTAATGAGTGACGTTTTGCTAATGAGTGACCAGGAGAGGAGAAGTCCCAGATTGTGTGCATGCTCCATCAGTCTCTGTTTGTCACTCATTCCACTAGCATCTTTAGCATCTTTTCCAAACTTGTGTTCACACATATTATGTAGTATTATGTAGACACAACTTCAACAACCATAACCCATTATGTAGTAAACACACCAAATGATATACCAAATTCTTGGGCTATAATTAAATATTAGAAATTAATTAATTTGACTAGAGGTAGGCAGTTATGCTGTCATCTCGTATTAAATTTAATGATCAATTCCAAATTAAATTTTAGAAATGTTCAAATTAAAAATTAATTATTTATAATTATTAAAATTAATATGAGATAGCAGCATAACTACCTACCTCTAGTCAAATTAATTAATTTCTAATAGAGAGGTTGCAGCCAAAGTTTTCATCTCTAAAACATGAACATTGAACATTGAGTGCCACCATCTTGAAGGCTTGAAGTTTGACAATGGCATTTGGAACATCAAGCGTGATTCCAATGACATAACTTTTGGCTTGTTTGTCAGATATATTATCTGTATTTTTTTTTTTTTTTCAGTAAAAAATTGAATTTGCATTTCAGGTTGGTTCATTCCATGTGAGAAGAAAAGATGATGATTCACGCTTCTTAACAATGTATATTGTTAAGGAGCATGAACATTACACATCAATTCCAGGGATGAAATCACCCTCTCTTTAGCTTGGCAAGTCCTATTCCAAAAAGAAGAGTGAATACCTCATCTACATTAAAGGATCAGGATAACTATAAAATATAAAAAAGGGGAATAACAATGCTTTTTTATCTTCAGTACTTATCCCTCTAACACCAACTTTTGTTTGTAAAAAATGGAAAACATTTTTTAAGACACAGGACCTTATGTAATGACTAGCTTATGAAACCAATATGCACGTGATTCCTTTCTATTTTCAAATTTTGTATTTTGAAATATCATTCCAAATGGCTGGTCTTTGTTTTAAATAATCATTACAAACAATTTTTAGCTTGAAAAAGGACCCAGGAGGGATCCGAAAACGTTTGCTTGGACAGTTATTTTTACATTTCATACTGGTTAAAGGTTTATGAACGGTAAATTGTATCTTACTCCGCTGTGTGATGATTCTTTATCAATGTATATTGTATAATTGTCTTTGAATAAATGCTATACATAAAATATTTTAGTATTTTTTTCGGTATGGAACACCTTATCGTATTGTACATTAATTTATATGGGAAAAACTGTTTCACTAAACAAGTGTTTCACATTACAAGTAAGATTCTGGAACGAATTATGCTCATTAAGCAAGGTTCTACTGTATTTTGTTATTGTAATACAAGTAGTTTTATTCCACATGATTTAAAACTAATTCAGCAATTTCATCCATATTGTCAAGATGTACTTTTCATTTAATTTTTTTTCATTTTTCCATCACAATTACTTCCTCTTTAGTATATCAAAGTCTACATATTTATTGACCATAAATTTTTAAAATATCTATGCAGTTTTCAAACTGATAATTGTGTACAGTGAAAAGAAGCTTCACTGTTGATCCTAGCACTTTTCAACATAATTACAAAAATTGTTCCTGTGGTACAAAAGTAGCTAGCCATCAGTAATGAAATATTATTCTGTACTATTTTTATCTTTGACATACACTGTATTGACATCTTATAGTAAGAACTGTGTGAACTGGCTGCTGACCTATCTTATTAACAAGATCATCTATATTTTTGGAAATTGAATGTCATGAGCCATAGATAATTCTCAGAACCACATTTGGTTTCAGAGTATGCAGTAATTTTTGAGAATATTGTTTCTACAAATAGAAAATTTACAGTATAATAGTTATAATATTTTATTAAGGAGATTTAATTTATTTTAATATAATAAACATCAATGTTCTAAAAAAATATGGAAAAAGTTTTTAATATTCTATATTTGTAGTAGATTGGAATGAAATAGAAATGTGACTGTTTTTTAGACTCATGCTCATTTTCAAGAAATTAAGAGAAACGAATATGATTAGAACAATGTAATAACAAGGAAATGTTTCCATGGCAATATATTTATCCTTGTCATTATGTTGCTATAGTAACTCTATTTAAAAATAGAAACTGGGAATGTGGAAATTCCGACATTCATGAAACCTTTAAAAATGGCAAAACAATTTAATTACAAACATTTTTGGTAATTTTTATTCATTTTTAAAGACTATCTTCAGGTGGAATACAAAATCGAACTTAGTGAAAACAGAGTAGTATAATGGATAATTTTCCAAACATAGAATGCCAGTTGATTTAAAATAATAGAATAAAATAAATACATAGTATGTAAATATTATATAAGATAGACATATGGAAAAGTTGCTTCTGGTTATGCCATGTCCAACTCAATGCAGGCTTTCCATTCCACAGAGAATGTTGATATCTTTTAATTGTTGAAACAACCCTGTCACACATATTTGTAAATGTATAGAGCTTCTGCATAACACATATGATGTCCATTTCTAATACTTTTGATAATTTTAGCATGTTGCCAGCAAACATCAACTGAATCAGAAAGAGCATAGGCAGCAAGGGCCGTGACTAATACAGACTTCTGGATGTTATACCTTATGCTCCTTTGGTCTAGCATCCAAAGATCTTAAAGTGATCCCAATGTATTGAAGGATGTGTGTAACATGCAATAAATATTTACTTATTTTTATATATATTTGTCTTATTATATATATTGTATTTTTATTTGTTGTTGTTTATTTTTCATTGTTAATCCATGTATTTAATGGTTTTTTTCATTATTTATCTACATATTTATTTGTAGTTTTATTTTATTCTATTATTTTAATTTAAACCAACAGGCATTTCATGTTCAGAAAATGATTCGTTATATTCTATTTTTGCTAAGTTTGATTTTGTTTTTTATCTGAGGATGGTCTTTAAGAATGACCAAAGACTTTTATAATTAAATTGTTTTTGTTGCTTTTAAAGGTTTCATGAGTGTCTGAGTAACTGTTTGTTTTTATTAATTCTTGAAGATGGATATGAATCTGAAAATGTTTTTTGTTTGAAAAGATGCACTAGATAGAATACAGTAAAACCTGTCTACGGAGACCATATGTGGTTCCTTTCAAAAAGTCGTATTTTAGACAGATGGTGCTGTAATATTGTATTTCCACATGTATTTTGCGTACTTTTTAGCCATTTCTACTAAGCAAAAACCTTGAGCAAAAATAAGCAAATCTTTTCAACAATAGAGCGATATTGATATTTTATTCTCATCAGATGACTCGATTAACAGGAGTCATTGTGATTTTATAAGACAGATTTAATACCAATGTTTTAAAAATTAATACAATATTTGCATTTTCTTGATTATAATGCACACTACTTTTTTCCAACATAATTAATTCAACTTGGTTCTCTTCATTCACTCTTTAGTTATGTGTATTACAGTATGTCATTGATATAGAAGTGCGTCATATATTTCTCTACCACTTCAGTTTTGGTTTTCATTAGTTTAATCTTATTTTATCTTTAAAAATACTGTATTTTTTTAAAAAATATTTAATATTTTCCTAAGTACAATAAGAAAAATTATTAATTAATAATAAAACAATTTTATTATTTTTTTTTGTAATATGATTTCATTACATCAATGACAATCGTAGAATTGAAAAAGGAAGGTTGCCTGTAAAACTGATTTTTGTGTTAATGCATTTATTGTGTCTTGAACTTCTAACAACAGCACTTTGTATTTCTTTCATTTCTTGGATATTTTCAAACAAACTGAAATGAATTTCCTTTGTATCTGGACTAATTCATTAACACCTGCACCTAATTTCAAGAGTAGGAGAAGTGCCTGTGATGGGTTCGAACAAGAGTTTAGACTAATTCATTATATTAGGAGGAGGAAACATTGTTGATATGGTTCGAACAGTAGTTTAGACCAGATATATTCGCAGAAGTGGTTGCTTATTAGTTATTGTATGTTGTTTCCGACCAAAAATCGATGCCTGTGGTTGCGTTATACAGATGGTTGTTTAATACAGGTAACTTATATGAAGACTATATATAAACTATTCCATGCCAGAAATTTTTGTCCATTTTGACAGGTGCCTGCGAATGCAGGTGTTCGCCTAAGCAGTTTTTACCGTATATCAATTTTTTTTTTATGTTTTTAAATTTGAGTAAAGATCAATAATTTCAAATAATTTCTGACTTAGGTTATTTAATACTAAAGATGTAATATTTTTTTTTTTTACATTAAACAAATATATTTGTTATATTATCTATAAGAACTCTACCATTATTTATTAACCTCAATTATTCAGAAATTTTAAGTTATTAGTTAGTTCAGTATTGTTTTATATCTGAAGTAGCAGGCAAAAGTAACGATAACTAAGATTAAGATTATTACGTTACAGTCACAAAATGCAAGAATTGGGTCCCCTTACTTCCAGACTAATTAGAGAATTTTTAGATGGTTCTAAAAATACGTTCAATTTCCCGCAAAAACGAAAAAAACTGCATCTGCGTCTTGCATGTTGCTTTCTCTTAACAATTCCATTGTTACATAACACTTCCATTGTTACTTAAAACTTCCATTGTTGATGGAAGTGTAAAGCCTTAATCCTGTCCCTCTCCCCTGTGGGAAGGAATTTCGAAAAATCCCTTCTTAGTGTGCGTTCTCGTAACGTACCCTAACTGTGTACCAACTTTCAACTCCTAACCGTTTGGGCTCTTATCCATAATGNCCCTATGTATTAATCTAGATCTTTGTTTTTTCAAAGTTTATCCCGTTTCATTCCCTCTGTTCTTCCAAATTGTTTCCTTCTCTCTATTGTTTCCAAGCCGTTTCCTTCTTTCGGTATTTGTAATTTTAATATTTAAATTTTTTTTTCAGAGAATTGCTTTGGACACTTTCACCTGAAGAACTTAGCATTTTGGAAAGAACATTATGTAGCACAGATGATTTTCATACTGTTAAAACTGAATGTGCAATTGCAAGTGATTATCCTGGTAATAAATTTCAAAATTATGTAAATCTCTTTCTTCAAAATCATCAAAATTGTCAACAGTTTATTTTGGATTTTTATGGTTGTCATGTAAATACCGCACAAAACAATCAGAATTTAGTTGATTCCAGCAATACTACTAAAACTTGGCAGACCGAAGAAGAAAATACAAGAGACAAAAACTGTTTTTCAACAAATAATTCAACATTGGATAATTATAATAGTGATTTGCATTCAACAATAACTTTTGGTTGCTCAGATAATGAACAAAACTTTGTTAATTCAGATATTCCAAATTATTCTCATGTGACGTTTACTGAAACCAGTAATACTGCTCAATGTATATATAGTGAGAATTATTGCAATAACAAGACTGACACTTTGTCAAAACTTGAAAATAGTTTTTCTACTACTTGTACTGATTCCAATTCAAATGATCAATTTTGCAATGAGACAAATCATATTCCTGAAGTAAATGAAAACATTACATGGTCGTCTTCAGATGTTCAATATTGTGAGAGAGATGATCAGCTCAATAATTTATATGCATCATCATTATCCAAGGATGTTCCACCTTACTTTGATACAAATGCTCAATCAAGGAAAAATGAATATGAAAATTACAATGTAAGTAGTTTAAATTTTAATTTTTAATATGTTTTATATCATAAAACAGAGTTCTAGTGCATCTATATTCAGTAATTTTAAACAAACCTTCAAGGTTCCTAAGAAAAGTGCTTTAAAACCTCAGAAGATATTGCAATTAAATATTCATAATTTCATTATCTCAGTGATAGTTAACCATAAATATCTGTCAAATATTAGCATTGATTTTACTAATATTTTGGTGCAGATAAATTGCAAGTGAAAATTTTTCAGTAACATAAAGAGAGATGATGAATATTGCCATTGTTATAGAAACCTACAGACACACTTTGTTATTTTAGTATCACTGAAATGATAGCATTACATTTTAAGTTCTGAGAATTTGTTCAGAAAAAGTGAAGTAATTTAGTGCAATAATTTTGATTTTCAAGAATTTCTGTAAACAACTAAAATTTAATATTTTCGAAATCGTAAAGATATCATTTCTTGCATATAACCCATGGATTATTTGTATTTTAAAGTCAATTTGGAAGTAGGTATAGAATGTGTTCTAGCAATTTTTGTGGATTATATGTAGGAAACTATAGTACAGTAAAATCTCACACTATCTTTCCTGGATATATAACTTTTCACAAAACATCATTCAATTTCTAGGGGTCTTTGAATAAATCTTATTTAAACTATGAAAATTAAACCTATGTCAATCATTTCTCAATTTATTATTTTTTTCATATCTATTGGTGAATTTTTAGTCCTGAAGAATGTTAATTCTGGACTTAGTTTTTAAGAAAGAGCAACACCCCATGCACAAATATTAGAATGCATTGGTACTGGTAACAGTAGTTGATGTTTTGTAGCAAGTGATAATTTGGACTGCATACAATTAGTTTGCATGCATCTTAAATGCAATGAACTGGAAGGGAAGAGTAGTGGTAATGGTGAAGTCAACCCCAACAAGTTGCTAATGGCAAGTTATACTGAAACACTGAAACAAGTCCATAAGTGTTTTTTATATGGTCAATATATCATCAAAAAGACCAAACAAAAAAATAAAACATTTTTATTGTATAAGAAAGAAACATGTCTATATGCTTTTGTGAAAAGTAATTGCTGCTGTTTTTTATATATCAAAGAAAATTTTTCCTTTTTACTTTTGCTTATTTTTATCTTTCAGAAATGTGAGCGCTGATATTTAAAAGATGATGATGATAATATCTTGCCAATATGATGGAGGAACAGTATTTTGTAATTGACAAGACTATATCTTGTCTTTAAAATTGTGCTGTTTTCAATGGCTGCACACCTTAGAGGTATGAAGGAGTATATGTCAGGAGTTGCAATTTGACACACAGTATTTGGTGCCCAAATCATGTGCACATAAAATAATCCAGACTTGTAGGTAGTCAGGGGACTAAGAACTGGGTCAAAATAAAATACAAAATGCTGAGATTGTTTCCACAAACAGATTTGCGCATGCATTTGCTCATGCTCTCAGTGACATAGTCTCATCCCAAAAATGGCTTCTCCATTTTACTTGTTTGTGCTTGAATTATAGAAACATCTCTAATTAGCTGTAAGCATCATAAAGAGGGTTTTTCCCCTCCTGTGTAAAAATAGAGAAAAAATGAAATTTCTCTTTGATTTGCTAGTTTTTTTATATTATTACTATCAGTTGCACTTCATCAATTCATATATTATTTTTTCAAATTAAATCCAATTTGTTTTTTTATAAAATTTCTCATCATCCGGATTCAATCTATTATAATAATGTTAATTTCAATTCAGATGACTGGTCATTGAATTCTGTTATTTAGTCAAAAGTCATTGAAATCTGTTATTCATTTTATAAAAATGAATAACAGATTTCAATGACTTTTAAAAACTTCACAAAAAATAGAAAGAAAGCTAAAATTAAAAGTGTATTCCCATTTGCATGAATTTTGCATATTGAGGTGGATGAGAGTCTCTCTAGATAACGACTTTTATGTTGCAATCTCTACTGCAAGACTTTTATGTCTCCAAAGTGTAACAAATGTTAATACCTGTTTTTAGATATGTCATCATTCTAGTTTCTTATTCATAAAGAATATATTATTGTTTTTTTTTTTTAATCTAAGTGATAAAATGTTATAAATAGTCCTGCTTAATATAAATGCTTAATACAGCTTGTTTTCAATATACAGTGGGTGATGGGTTAACAAACATAATTCGTTCCAAGACTTTGTTCGCTATTTGAATTGTTCGTTAACCAATTATCAATATACCATAGGTTTTTATGGAAATTTGATTAATTTGTTCTGGAGATCCCAAAAAATAAAAAAATATACACTTTCAAAAAATAAAAAAAATATATACTTACTACGTTTATTTATATGTAATAATAAAAATACATATATACACAGTCTTGCATTTTTATTAGTCCTGCTTTTTCCATTTGTGGGGGTTAAAGAATCTGTCTAATGTCAATTGCTTTTCTCTCTTCTTCAAGATTTCTCAGAAGTAATTAATAGCATTGTAATTGTAGAGATTCCTATGCCTATAAACCTCAACCTGGTTTGGATGCCATTCTAAGACCGTCATTCTGACATCATTCCACTTCTTCAAAAGATCTTTAGTAGCAGATGTCGACATTGGTCCTCTTTTTTCAGAAGAAAACATATCTCGCCAAGTTTCTTGGTGGTCTTCATTCAAGCATTCTTGGCGTTCTTCTGTCGTCAGATCCATTTCAGGTTCCATTATGAGCACTTCAATGTTCTTTATTTCTCAGATGTGATTTTTGTTACTCCTTAAGCTGCTTGAATCTTCTTGATAATACAGTATGTTTCTTAGATAAGATTGAACTGCGACCTACTGTAGATCTGTTCAACCCATACTGCACAGCGACATCAGACATCTGCCCACTCTCTACCTTTGCTATTATACTCTCACCTCTCGAAAATAAAAACTGAGACAAAACTTAACAAGTGCCCACCTGAGAGTCTTGCGAATACTACAAAAAAATGGTTTCTGTCAGAAAAATAAAAGACTGAAATTACAAGGGAGAGTTTCGAAGTTTGGAGGAATACTTTCCGATAAGTATATACCAGGTTGAGTGTCAATGTCGATGTCTCCCTCACTCTGAAAAGTTTTGAATTGTTGTCTGAAGACAAGGGGGAAGACTAATCGGTATTCATTATTTTATGTTGCTTCTTCTTGTGTTTGTTCTGTGAGGTGTTCGAACATAAAAAAATCTTTCGCAAAAGTGTTTGTTATCTGATTTGTTTGTTAACCAATCACCCACTGTATATTCTACTAGCTGTTACCCGTGACTTCACCCACACGGATTTTGCAAGCAAACCATTTTTATATTCAGTATTTCAACAACCATAGTAATTGTTATATAACATCTACCGCTGAGAATTAAACAAACTGTTTTCAATTTGATCAATTTTCTGGAATGTTTTACAATCGTTCTATAATCCAACCAATATGCAATAACAAATTCGAATTTAAAACAGTTTGAACATTTGGTTAAAAAAATCGAAATATATAAAAATATTTATAACAATGTCTGAAAGATTATTAATTTAATACACTTAAGTACTTAATGAAGACTAAACGTAAAAAAAAATTTTTATATGAAATAAAACGTTTGTTTTATTTCATATAAAACACATTTCGTATTTTTTGTTATGTGTTATTTTATTTCATATACCTGTATATGAAATAAAATAAAAATTGTTTTCTGTTAATCTTTGTAATATTATCTGTAAAACCAGTATAATAAGTCCTGATAATAGAAGATACAAATTTATAGTCGAAAATTTACATATTAATAAGAAAAAAGGACATTGAGGCAATTTAATTAATAAATGTCAAAGTTGCTTTTAGTATAAATGCATGTTTCCATTGTTTTGATTTGTAATTGGATATTTTTCACTGGTGCACATATTGTTCATTAATGAAAATGCTTGTGCAGTATTATAGGCATTAGATCCATGATGGCATAAGCAAAATTCAATGATTTTTAAAATAGTTTTAAAAGATTTGTGATATATTTATAAATTTCAATCCCAACTATGTGGCAGGATTCATCATTTTGTCCTCATTTTTTCACTGGTGACATAACTTTTAATACACACAACTTCATCAAACAGTTTACCTTCATTTATATTTAAATTCCAGTGGTTGGAAATGGATAAAACACTTTCTTTGATCTTTGCCCACAGAGGGGTTTCTTATAGTAGGATTCATTCAAATATTTCCATTTCCATGAAAGATCTATCCTGAAAAAGAAAAAGGAAAGAAACATACTAATCTTATGTTATTTCCCAGCAGGAAGGAAAAACTAACAAATGTGAGAAAATTAAGATAAAACAAATGCTTTTTGTCTATTCCTAAGAAGTGCTGGGAAATAACTTAAGGTTAGTGTGTTTCTTTTTAATTATCTTTCCAGTTTTCTAGAAGATTGGAACTTGTAGAGCTCTTCCAGCTTTTTAAATAATTAATGTATGTTTAGTAAAATTTATAAATTGCATTTTTAAATATCATCATTTGGGATCAAAACCCTCATGTCTTCATTTTCTAAAATTTTACAGGAGAGCTTAAAAAATGTTGTTTTTAAGGGAGGCAAATTTTGAGTACAAGGTTGTTAGTTTTTGACATTGTCAAAACAATGTTAGGGAGAGTGCTTAAAAGGTACACACCACTTACAAGGTTTTGGCAATATACAGAAATTGACTTTACAACACATTACTGCAAAAATGTGTTGTAAAGTCAATTGGACTCATTATTGGAGATAAGAAGTTTTGATTTGATGATGTGTTGGTATCAATATTTTGGGGTTTTTCTAAATATAACAATATAAATAATTGCTCATTTTGTTTAATGAATAAATTTTTAAAAGGCTTTATTTGTGAGCTGAGGATGGCTCCAAGCTTGATGAAAATATTACTTTTTGGTTACTTGATCTTAGCAGCTTGATTTTTTTTTTTTTTTTTTTTAAATGCAGTAATCAATGCAGGTGACACTAAGAAAGCAAG